ACATCTTTTATAGCCAAATGACAATAAAAGCAACGCTAAAAATATATATATAAACACATTTTTCTATAGTAAAATTACCAAGAATGATTTTTATCTTCGACAAACTATATATCTAAAAACATTCCTTGAGAGTAAAAAAAAAGTATATATAGAAAGTATCTGTAGTTGAAAGCATAAAATTGCATGAGCAATATTTAGATTTCGTCTTTAAAAAACGTATACAGGTTGATATTTTTCCCGTGACCAGTAGGGGCACCTTGTATACTGCAGCCGCAGTAGAAGTGTTTTTTTCTTGGGCAAGATAGCCTGACGCTGCCCACCCCTCTCCAGGCTATTCAGAGTTTTCTTTCTCTTAGAGCCAAGGCTATAGAACCCAGTCTGTCCTGCTATTTACCCGTAGCTAGGGGGAAGAAGAAGAGGATTCATCCATTTCCCAAGGGTAATATTAGCAGGTAAGTTAATGTAATGAAACCGACTGGAATTCGAACTCCCAGTTACTATCCTTTAACGCTGCTGTAACTAAATACTCAAACAAACCGACTAAATGTAACTTGAAGACAGACAGACAGACAGTCTAAATATTGTTAAACAATGTCTTTTCTTTTTATCTTTTTTTAAATCGCATTCTTCTCAATAATAATAATAATAATAATAATTTTTTTTTAAGCGTTTCACCCCAAGCAAGGTGGGAAGCCACTAGGACGCAAGGGGTTACAGAAAATTTAGAGCAAGATCAGATAGGAGTGATAGAAGAAAGGATGAGGGTAATGGATAGACCAAGGCAACTGGAGATGTCAATTGTCATTACACTTGAATAGCTGGAGATTATAGCTCTCAGGGAAACTGGAATAGGGAAGGGAGTCCCACAGGCGATAGGTGCGAGACATTAAGCTATTGGAGTAGAAGAGACGGCTACATCTAGGAGTTTCGACAGTGAAGGGGTGAGAGCGGGATGCCAGCCTCGTCGGGCGCTTGAACTCATGAAGTCTGGGAACCAGCGAATGCAGCTCCTCGGAGCAATTGCCATGAAAGTATTTGTAGAACAGAGAGAGAGAGAGAGGCGACGGCGCGTCTGTGAGAAAGTGTCTGTAGACGAGATGCCAGATCAGGGCCAATTATATTGCATATCTGCCTCTGGAGCCTATCAAGAACCCCGAGGCAAACAGAAGGAGCACCAGACCATATATGGCAGCAATACTCCATGCAAGCGTTTTTCTCGGTTGGGACGCAAAATGGGTATTATGTCAGACCTGCAGAATCTCTGAAATGCTTTTTAATATTACTCACCTGTTAATTGCTTGTGCAGTCAGCAAAATACAATATATCGGTTACACGCACACACGCTGGGACGTATGCCCCCGCCCCCATCTCGCACATACACACGCTCCAATAAGATTAAATGAAAAAATGTCGGAGTGATTCTTAATGAATCACGAAAAAGAAATTAAATTCGGAATTATCTATCGAAAAGTCTTATCACTGTTGATTATTCAGGAGACTAAGTACCCGGGGGGGGGATAGCAATAGAGAGAGAGAGAGAGAGAGAGAGGAATTTAAAACATTCTAATATAACTTCATGATGAGATTATAATGTGAGATAAATGCACTTGATTTTACCAATGCTTTTTACATTATTACTGATGTGTCTACATGTGTAGATAAATATATACAGGGTGGTCTGAAAAGTACCCGCCACCATACAGTAATGAGAACAATAGAAGAACAAGTAATACAGTAATACAAAACACATGTACTGGATTCAGTTTATTCAATTTCAATGACGCTGTCAGACATCGAAAAGATCAGTATGACCATCAGGATTTTCGTGTCAGCGATCTGGAATAGAAAATTATGTTGTACAAGGTGACTTTCGAACCACCCTGTATATTGTATACCAAAAATTTAGAACGCCCACAGGATTTAATAAATGGGAAGTTTAATCTTTTTTTTTTCTAAATGAAACTGTTCCTTGTAGTATTAGCGGATATATATATATATATATATATATATATATATATATATATATATATATATATATATATATATATTCTGATCTATCATCTCTCCGTTGCCCTCTGTCCTTGACAGAGTGCACTCAGGGGGCTTCTCTGCCAAAGGACAGAGGGGCAACGGAGAAAATAATACCGAAGAGGTGCCCAGCCCTGGGGAACAGCTGCCCGAGGCCGCGCCCTCCCATTGCACAAGAGGCCAGCGCATCCGACGGTTGCGGGAGTTGAGGGGAATTTTTTGACCCTGCCTGGGTGCACGCGCTCAGGTCCCCACATTAATCCGAACTTGTGTCACATTCACATCTGATTCTCGTGGGGAATGAGTAAACATCGCATATATATATATATATATATATATATATATATATATATATATATATATATATATATAATCAGAAAATCACGAACTCATAAAAAAAGCCATGAGATGATATCTATTTCATTGAGGTCGGAAAATTGAACTTAACTCTTCAGATCTAGTAATACGAATAAAAATGGAAATCTTTTCCATTTTCATTTGTATTACGAGATCTGAAAAGTTGAGGTCAATTTGTAATCTACCAACACAATTTTTGTATTCAATTTCTGTGATTTAACAATTTTTTTATTTGTTGTGGTAAACCCTCCTACAGTAGAATGAACTCTTCCTCCTCTTATAAATACTAACTGCGAGACTTCCTAGAAAGAGTCGTTTGGCAGTTGGTTGGGAAGCGGAGACGCATTTTTAACCTACCGTTCGAACGTACACCTCTATCTGCTTATTACTAACACACTTGCTTTGTATATATCTGTAATTTCAATACACTTCTTCAACCTACCTTCGTCTTCTGTGTCTTTCTTTCTGGCTCCTAAACAGTAATTAATTTCAGAGATGAGTAATTCGCAATACATTTGTATTAGTTTGAACTACTGTTCTTGTCTTGGTTGTTATCGATGTTATTATAGCTTAAACGTTGGCCCGACACGGACAACATGACACTATAATCAATCATATCAGCCAAATAGGGAAACCTGATCAGAGCCAGAGGTTACTTGGCCGGAATATTGTGCCTGTAATAACATCTATAAAAAAAAACATGATTGGACCAATAGTTTGAAATAATGTTTATTGAAGATTCTTTTATAAGCAACTTAGAATAGAGAAAATTGATAAGGTTGCTTAAATTTTACTTACGGATTACTACTCAAATGGCGTAAATGCTTGTTTAAAATTGTTATACTTAGTCTAATAAATACAAAAGAAAAACGTTTCGTTATAAACCAAATACTAGAATTGGTATAATTTAGTGTAAAGAAATATTTACTAAGAATTTTGTTTTAATTTAATATACTTCTTATTTTTGCTGTTGCTTGAGACACACTAACGTCAGCAGTGGTGTTTCTTAAGTTTTAGTCAAATTTGAGTAGAGCTGCTTATAAATTGATTTGCTTATAAAAATCGGTTATTTCATAAAACACTGGTTATTTCCCAATAAAAGCTTAGGCATTCATTACTATTTTTAAGGCATATTTCGAACTTATATTCTGTTGCATACTCCCTACTTATGGGGAGGTATTTTGGTTGAAGGGTCGACTTCACAACAAAGCTGAATTCTTCTCTCTCGGCTATATTCTCTTGGTCGCTGATCGCTGGTTGTTTTTGGTGTCTAGAAGCACCAACAAAAGGAATTATAAACTTATCTATTTTATTAAACACGTCGACGTGTACATTTTTAACCAGTCAGTCGGATCGCTATATTACTCAAGTTCGGTTTGGTTTTCATTGTTTTGTTTTATGGCATATCAACCTCAATGTGTTACTTAATGCCAACAAGATGCTGGTAATAGTTTTCTTCAAAAATGCATTGCTGATAATATTTCTTTTTCAAAAATGTATTACTTCTAATATTTTTTCCTCCAAATTTTTATTACTGGTAATAAAACCTATGTTTTCATAGTGTTTTGACTCCAGTTTCTGCGTTAACTATTTGTCCATAGCTGGGACCCTAACAGGTGCTACCACCCCAGATCAAGGTGGACCTGAAAACACTATCAATTAAGAGGTCATTCCACTCTCCTCAAAACCTCCTGATCAGAGGATTTGCTGTTGGATGTAGTTTATCGTCTTACCCAGGACGCAGATGTAGTATATCGTCTTACCCAGGACGGTCTCCAAGTTCCCCAAAACACAAAATAAGCACGTCTAATATGTATAACGTGTAAAAAGCTATCTCCTTGAAGACACTTTCTATCTCTCTAACATTCCGACGTTCGGCTCTGCCAATAAAAATCGACATGCCTATTTTGTCTACCATCTGACTTTAAGGTCAGCCACAGAAGGTCTGATCCATATATACTACCACCAAAAAATAATGGTCTCAAACTATTGTTTAACAATTCAAGAAGAAGACAAATGCATTCAGAAAAGAATTAATATCTATGAGCAGCAACGCTGCATGAAATTAATCGGGGGAAAATATGTCTGAATAAAAATGGGTTTCGAAGACATTCGTTCAATGAAGTGACTGAATCCGACTGAAAAATTGTGAAGACTTCGGGATAGGATGGTCGACATTTACCAGCAGATGTGAACTTTGCAATGCTAGGATAAATGCTGTGCAATCTGTTTCATGTGAAGACATTTTAAAAAACTCACAAAACCAATGGATATGTAACAGAAATGTTTTAGAATGGAAAATGTTTCCTATTAAACGCTATCGTATAGACAATGACATTCATTTCGATGTATTCTATTGTCTTTGTAAAATCTCTAGGCATGTCCTGTACTTAAAATTTTAAAATGATAACGGAATATTACATGATGTTCCATTAACCTAATGCGAAATTTGGAAAATCCAGTAATGCCACCTTTTAAGAGTGCCATGTTGTCGACTACAATTTGTTAATATTATGTTGGTTACCCTGCGTGATAATTATGTAAATGTTTTCGGGTATTCATTGATTAATTTTCTAAAAGTTTAGAAAAGTAAACGAGGTTAATGATGTGAAACGTTATATAGATAAAAAGATACATAGATAGATAGATCTGAAGAGATGGGATAGATAGATAGATAGATAGATAGATAGATAGATAGATAGATAGATAGATAGGTCTGAAGAGACTGAGATAGATAGATAGATAGATAGATAGATAGATAGATAGATAGATAGATAGATCTGAAGAGACTGAGATAGATAGATAGATAGATAGATAGATAGATAGATCTGAAGAGACTGATAGATATGTGGTGATATGAAGAGAATGACATAGATATGCAGAGATATGAAAAGAGATAGATAGATAGATAGATAGATATGAAGAAACTGAGATAGATAGATAGATATGAAGAGAATGAGATAGATAGATAGATAGATAGATAGATAGATAGATACATAGATAGATAGATAGATAGATAGATCTGAAGAGACTGATTGATATGTGGTGATATAAAGAGAATGACAGATATGCAAAGATATGAAAAGAGTGAGATAGATAGATAGATAGATAGATAGATAGATAGATAGATAGATTAACACTGAGAAACACCGAAATTTTCTTGAGACATATAAATTATGATGAATTTAAACAGATACTATGGAAGGTGATATTCAGAACATTGAGCACTAAGAAACATACGGAGTTTATGTGATTTGGCATCGCTAGAATCTGATTTAGCATTTATACGACTGACTCAGTTAGATATACATATTTTTAAATTATGCTAAAGAACATTATCATTATTATTATTTATTCGCTCGAGCTAGCTCGGACATTAATATGTCTATGACGCCAACCATCACGTTCTTGCACCAAGGCCATCAGGATGGTATTCTGTGTCATAATATAGTTGGTCAATGTAGGTGGTTGCTCTGCGGCCTATCCGTCTTGCTCCATGGCTAGGTGTGTAGAGGTGGAAACTACTCGCAAGTTCTTGTTTTGCAAGCCAGAAGTGTCCTGCAATGCCCTTTTTCTGTTCGCGTAATATTGTAGTAATATCCAGGATGAGTCCAAGCAGCTGTGATCTAGTTAGTTTGGTCTGGTTTGGTTTGGTTTGGTTTGCTTTATGGCATATAAACCTCGATGGGTTATTTAATGCCGGCAAGATTTTTATTGCTGGTAATATTTTTTTCAAAAGTATATTGCTGTTAATTTTTTCTTAATGTATAGATGGAAATTTTTTTTCTAAAATCTATTGCCGGTAATAATGTATTGTTTGTAATAATTTATTACTCGTAATAATTTTTTACAAAGCATTGCTGGTATTAAAAACTATTTTTACACTTTCATATTATTTGATCCCAGTTTGGGGATTAACAATTTGCCCAAAGCTGGGACATTAACAGGTGCTACCACCCCGGGAAGGGTGGACATGGGAACACCAGCAATTAAGAGGCGGCCCCATGCTCTTAAAATCTCCTGATCAGAAGCCTTGCTGTCGGACGGATTTTATCGTCTTACCCAGGACACGGATGTAGTTTATCGTCGTACCGAAGACGGGATTTAGCTGGATGTTGTCTTTAATATATATTAAGTCCCACTTTGGAAGAAATTGTTGCTAAAGGAGAGAAATTATTTAAAAAAAAAGTTTAAAAAATTCTCAAAGGTTAGATGAACCTTGTAAAGTCCATCGGCCATCTAGCACAATAGGATAGACACGGCTGCATAGCTATGTATGCATAGTGTGCGGTGTTAAATAGTTGGAAGGAGGGCTACCTAGACTAAAAGCAACGCCCAGGACGATGACTTCTCTCGATGGGATCAAGGACTAGGTGTCCGTGATCAAAGTAAATCTTCAAGTTCATTGAGGGCCATCGGCTGCGTTATAACTTGGAGAGGGATGATCTCCCTCAAATCTATTTACCCAAAACACGCTAAGCGTGATTGGATGCCACTCCGGCTTTAAAACCCAGTTGTGGGGATGAAACTGGTTAGGTGCCCCCTTGTGAAGCGAGTCGGAAATCATCATTATAATATAATGATTTCCGATAATTATGGTAAAATAGGTGCTTGACCAATTTCTTAGATTACTGACAATGAAACTAGGCTTTCGGATCTCACAATTGTAGAATTAGTCGACGGAGGATGATTCCAGGGCGCGCCATTGGAAGTTTCATTATGTGTCCTAGAAATTTCAAATGTCCAAATTTAGTAAATTTATTCTCAATTAATTTACACTGGCGAATTAAAACCATTGACAAAAGAAAGTGTGGCGGACTTCCACCACATTTATTTAATGTTGATTAGGAAACCAAACTGATATGAAGAAATAACAAGCCAAAGGTATCATTATATATAAAAATTGTATTCAACAATTCATACAATAAAGAATGTGTAAGAAAAAGTATGCAATGAGTAAGATGAAAGTTGTCTTTCTTTGACTATCATTGTCTATCAAAAAGAAAAGAAAAAAAAGAGTTAATAGTTTGTAATAAATGTGTTTTTTAACAGTTTTGCTGTGCAAGAGGAAAAATTATGTAAGTGTAAAGGAATATGCAGTTTGCGAGTGTAGAGTGATAAGATCGGCGCATAGCTTCAACTGTCGTGGATTTCTGTGGCAGCTGAAGTCTCACTGGTGTGTCTACACTTTTTTTCTTGCTTTTATAGGTGATCATTGGATCAGAAGTGCTGCGCGGGAAGAATCACTCTTCACGTGCAGACAACTCGATTGGTCGAAACTGACCAGATTTCTGGGAACCGATTCTCCCAAAAGTGCATAAAATCTACTATACGAAAATATAGCGATTTCAAAATTGTCGCATAAGACAGTAGCGTTGATTTCTATCCAACGAATGATTGTTATTGAAATTTGAATTTGTATAGGTATGTATGTGTGCCTGTGTGATGATGATCGCTATAAAAGGATGTCGCGTTAAAATATTAATTGCATAAAATAAACGACTTTTTATCCAGAAGCAACTAGTTTATAGGAGTACGTTCCAGAGTCGGATATGTCTTACCTAACTACTGATAAAGTAGAAATTTTGGGGCCAAAGGTTAGATTACTTTGAGCGTCAGCGCTTGTTCCGTAAAGGAAGTTAAAGGCTGAGTGTCTCTGGTAAAATAAATAAATAAATAAACACATTTGTTTTTTTCGTCTCGAAGCAGGGTCTTGTTAAGAACTGAGATGAGAGGCAAGATAAATGTATTACCAATGTTAAGAAGAGATATTCCTGAAATTCTAGTGTTAGTCATGTCGACGTGAAACAATATCCCCGTTGTCAGGAGAAAAAAGGTTTTATATGGAGATTTATTGGGAACTTACATGAGGTACATTTCGCCTTAGGTCACTACAGTCGAAAAAGCTTTCAAAATAATTAAATGCATTTGTTTTTGTTAGTATGAAATAAAAAGCAGTGGGTTTAAGGCGGCGTTACCGATGAATAAAATATAGAATATACCAAAAAAATGTCTCTCCACAACTTCCTATCCTTTGTAACTCTTAATTAATTTTGTCTTTTTGCTATTTCTCCTAAACCCTGTTCCGACATCCATTTACTCAAGCTCAATAAGTATGCGTTGTTTTCCTATGTTTCTTTTGACTTCAATCTGCCCTGTGAGTATCAGATTTTCCAATCCTTCCTTCCTCATTATGTGCCCCAGAATTCTTACTGCATAGGTTGAGCTGCTTTTATTTCATTTTGAATAACCAGTACCTTACTCCATATTTACTTCAGATATCGATTAGTGTTCAATACATTTGAACTGTAACGAATATGTGCTTTTAAAAAATCAGTTACAAAATCATTTTAATAATATGCTTATGATTAACTTCCCCTTTTCAAGGGATGAGATTAGATACAAGTACTGCTAGTCTTTGGCATCTGCGTAAACAGTCATCTCATCTATGCGCCGTGTCCCTTCAGGATGTGGGTGATCATGACTCTCCACAACTTCCTATCCCTTGTAGCTTCTAATATTTTTCTCTTTTTGTTATATTCTCCTAAACCTTGTTCCACCAAATATTTACTCAAGCTTACTTGCGTCTTTCTCTGTTCCTTTTCCATTCAATCTGACCTGTGAGTATCAGATTTTCTAAGCTGTCTTTCTTCACTATGTATCTTAGAAATTTCGACTGCCTCTTCCTGATTTTAAGTGTAAGTTTCTTTTTTGTTTCTATTTTGTGTAAAACGTAGTTGTTGATTACATGGTCAGTTAAGAATCTTTCTGTACAACTACATTTCTGTTGTTTCAAGTCTCTTCGTCATCTTTGAGGAGATTGTCCATCAGTCACTGCCACAGGGGAGGACAGCTATCACGTGGCAGTTCGGTGTGCTTTTCTTTGTCTCTAGCGAGGTATTTTTCAGTATCTGTTTATATTTCTGAAATACGGCATTATGTACACTGTTTGCATTGTTCGAACTATCATCCTCATCTTTGTTGCCATATTTATCACAATGTTTCGGCCGCTGAACGCTCCAACCTTCTTCAGGTGGTTGAAATGTCGAACTGAACCCTTTATTTGGCTCACTGAGGTAGACTGTTCTAGTTCCAAGTGCCATGTTAAGTTTATAATACCCAGATATTCATAAACAGATCTCCCCAAGAACACATGGCACAGTGCCCTCTGTGGGATCAGGTTGAAATCATAGACAAAGAACATCATTGGAAAACTCGTCAACTTAAGGAATCAGCACATATGCTGAGCCACAAAAATCTCTTGAGCCAACCAAGCATAGAAATGAATACAATATGGGAACCAGTAATAAGGAGTGCCAGATAAAAAGCAATAATAACAAAGAAAATTGCAATATTAGCTCTGGTAAAAAACATGGAATAATAACAGCAAAAATTGCAATGTGAGCATTGGTAAAAAAATTATTGCTAAAGACATAATTTTTATAATACACAGAATTTCATACACAGATGTACTCAAGGACATATGGCACAGTGGATAAAGGCTTTAGTTAGATCCAGTGACAGGGCCCAAAGATTGGGAGTTCAATAAGGCGGTGGAGAATTTGGGGAGAGGAATGACAGGAGAACTGATAACTGAAATCCATTAGGCGTGGAACTAGAACAGTCTATCCCAGTGAGCGAAATAAAGGGTTCAGTTCGACATTCCGACGACCTGAAGGATGTAGTTTATCGTCATACTCAGGACGGAAAAATAGAAAGGGATGAAAAGCAATGATGGATTTTCTGACTGGACTTATTCAATGAGGCGATTGTGAGAGAATCGGAAGTCCTACCGGGATTTATATTTGGTATCCACAATCGTAAGCGCATAAGATATGCAGATGACACGGTGTTGGTAGCAGATGCAGAAATGAATCTACGAGAACTCACACAGAACGTGAAGAGAAAGGATTAAGCATCAATTGCAAAAAGACTGAGTGTAGGATTGATAGCAAAAGGGACAATCCAACATGAAAATTACAGAATGGAGATGCCAAAAATCAATAAAATAAGTTAAATATCTCGAAAATACATTAAGGACGAAAAATGCGACACGGAAATACGAAGACGCATTGGGATAGTGAAAGAAGTCTCACAAAAGCTAAATAAGGTATTAAGCATTGAAAAAAATCTTTTAGAAACAAAGAAAAGAGTACTGAAAGTTTGCGTAATATCCACCCGTCTATATGGCGGTCAATACTGCGCAATCCCGTCAAAGAGGAAGAATTTTGTAGCAACAGTGCTTCTATAGAAGGATGCCAAGAAACTTAAACCGAACATTTCAGCAACAACGAAC